CAAGTTCTCACCACTGAGCCATATCCTCTAGCTCATGCTTTTTTTTTGGTAGGCAGGTGTTCCTGGGGATTGAACCCAGGGCCTCAAACATGCTAGGTGACTGCTGTATCTCTGAGCTACATTTAGGGCCCCACTAATTGCCCAGGCTGGCCTTGAACTTGTGATCCTCCTCCCTCATCCTCTTGATTACAAGGTATACACCACCACATGTGGCTTCCATGAAATGCTTTTTAACAGGCAGTGACGCACAACGACTAGGTGATGGTACCTATCCATGTACCTACCTCCCAACTCTGTCAACATTTCCAACCTCGTGTTTTTTTTTGTTTGTTTGTTTTTTTCTCAATCAAGAAACGTTATAGATTCAGTTACAGCTTCCTGTGGCCTTGTCCTGCTCCCTGGTGTCTTTCCCTCCTGGGATAACCCCTATCCTGAATTCCATGACTAGGGTTCTCGTGCATATTTTCACACTTGACAACACCTGAATATAGTTCTAAACGACATATTCTTCTTGTGCACATTTCAAACTTTCTGTATAAACTGCATTGTTCTGCAACTCTTATTATGATCATTACTATTTTGCTCAGCATTACATTTGTGAGATTTGGTGGTTGTATTAGGTACTCCCTAACACTAAGGAGCTGTACCTGCCTTCCTTCTTCTTTTGCCCCCCACCCCCCACCACCATCTATGCACTGGCAATTGAACACAGGACCTCATGAATGCTAAGTACATGCTCTACCAGGGAGCTACACCCCAGCCCATGTATCTGCCCTTCTGTACTCTATTCCTTGGGCTTCTTTGATTTCAATTTGAGTTCTGTCAATAGGAGTACTTTAGACATAATGAAGAGAGACAGTATCGTTTTTTCACTTTTTCTTCTCCCTTCTTCTGATGCTTTTCCTGACACAGCAGCCCTTCCTCCATACCCCCACTCTGTCTGGGCCCCTTTCAACCCTTCTAGCTTCAGTAATCCCCCTCCTCATTTTCTACCCCAACCATAGTTTTGTGGAGTCTTGCTTCACTTAATCTCCTGTGTTCATAATGCCTATCATAGTCTGTTTTCTGACTGGACCCTGCCTATTGTAGACCTGTTCTTAAATGGAGCTGCGTACTATTTATTCACTTTTAATTGCTACATTGTATTTCATTATACAATTAATATATCACCATGTATTCACCTATTCTCTTGTTGATGGATGGAAGGTTCCCCCCCATTACATGCCAGGTTGCAAAGATTTTTTTTTTTATATGGTTCTGGGGATTGAATCTGGAGTCTTGTATATGCTTGGCAAATATTCTAACACTAAACTACACCCCCAGCCCTTACTGCTATTTTTAATGTGATTCTTTAAAAATCATATGTTCTAGTTGGCTTTTCCTAATGAAAAGGAGCACTTGGATTTCACATCCAGAAGACTTGTGCATCACACTTACAGACTTGCTCATATTACTGTTTCCTTGCACTTCAGGGCTAACCAACCTGGTAAATTCAATTTTCTAGCAATTTGTGTACTAATTTAAAGCGTTTTTTTTTTTTTTTTGGGTACAGAATTTGTTAACTGAGAAACTAAACAGCTGTGCAAAGTGATTCAATTTGTCAGAGGGGCAAAAGGCTTAGGTAGAGCAGGCCCTTAGGCTGTGGGACCTCAATAGGCTTCTCCGCCTCTATTGCCTGTATTGTGTTTTTGTTTATTTCAGCTAGTAGTGATTATCACCCCCCTCCCTTCACTACCCTTCAATTTCTATTTATCATTATTAATTACTATTATTTTATTTTTCAGATTTTTTTTTTAGATTGGGCTCCACTAAGCACTCAAATACTACCTGTTATTCAGGTTTTGGAACTCTCCAGAGTGTTTCTCATAACACTATACAAAGAGCTCTGAGCTGAGATAAAGTGTTGCCTGTTGATGAATTGACTTGCTTCTGTTTATTAGCTCAATGCATTATTTTATTTAAACAAACTTTTCTATAATGCTTATTAAATACTCAATACTGTCCTGTGTATGCTATTTTACAAATGTTAACTCATTTGTATCAGGTATCAAACCTGAAGTAAATATTCCTATAATTCCTACATTTTAAGGTAGGTTCATAAAGATTTTAATTTGTAAGTGGGAGAAAGATACCCAGAGATTCTGGCTTCAGGGTCAGAGTATACAGGTAAACCATTTAGTAGGTTCTACTATTTTATATATTTCTTTTGTATCACGTTTGTAAACATGGTATATGTGAATATGAATATACACTCTTGATTATTCTTTTTTTCCCCCACAAAAGCAATTTTTACACTGCTCTGCTACTTGTCCCCCCCAACTGCATATTTTAGAAATATTTCTATACCAATATGTAGAACACTTCCTTTTTTTAAAACCTGCATGACATTAATATTTTGTTATGTGAATGTATCATACTTAAATAATTCCCTGTTAAGAGATACTTGATGACTTCTATTCTTTTACAATTATAACTTCTATTCTTTTACAATTATATTATTTATTTTTTATTTTATTTTTTGGCACTGAGGATTGAACCCAGGGGCTAAATCCCTGGTTCTTTTTATTTTTTTAAATTTCTAATAGGGTCTCACTAAATTGCTGAGACTGGCTTTGAACTTGCGATCCTCTTGCTTCAGCCTCCCAAGTCGCTGGGATTATAGGAGTGTACCATTGCACCTGGCTCTCCATAGCCCTTTAAATTTTTTTTTTCTTCATAATGTTTTATTACTTGCTGTTAAAAAATTATTGGAAGCTGGGTGTGGTGATGCATGCCTATAATCTCAGTAGCTGGGGAAGCTGACATAGAAGGATCACGAGTTCAAAGCCAGCCTCAGCAATGGTGATACCTTAAGCAACTCAACATAAATAAAATACAAAAAAATAGGTGTGGGATGTGGCTCAGTGGTCAAGTGCCCCTGAGTTCAATACCTAGTACCCCCCCCCCCAAAAAAAAAAGGCAATCCCTACCTCAATAGATTAACCTGTTTTCTGGCATGTAGTAAATTTTCAACAAATGAGTTTTGAAAAATGTAAATTTATCATCATGGATTTTCTTAAGATTTTTTTTGCTAAAACCACTTAAATGAAATAATATTGATAAAATATATTAAAATATTTTGTTCAGCCTTTTTTTTTTTTTTGAGACAGGGTCTTGCTTATTTGCTTAGGGTCTCACTGAGTTGCTGAGGCTGGCCTGGAACCTCTGCCTCAGCCTCCTGAGCTGCTGGGATTATATGCTTGCCCAGCTTCATTTGTCATTTCCTTATAGAGAAAACTGAAAATTCTTTCTCCTAGCTTTTTGCTGCTATCTATAGTTAATCCTACTGTGCAATAGCACCCAGAACTTCTTGCTCCTATATAACTGTAACTCAGTTGATCGATCAACTGTAACTGAGTTAATTGATCAACATGCATAATTAATCAACATTTCCCTCTACTTGTCTCTTCCTACCTCCTGCTGGGGGTTGAACTCAGGGCCCCCCGCACACACTAGGCAGGTGCTCCATCACTGAGCTACACCTCCAGCCTAGGTTTTTTTTTTTTTTTTAGTTGTAGATGGACACAATATCTTTATTTTATTTATTTTTACGTGGGATTGAACCCAGTGCCTCACACATGCTAGGTAACCCCTCTATCACTGAGCTACAACACCAGTCCTTTTAAAAAACTTTATTATGAATTTTACTATTTTAAGCAATTTCATTGCTTGTGTGTTTCATTGTAAGATGTCACAACCTTTCGTAGGTGGGTGGAGTATAGATTCCAAATGAGAAATGTTCAACAATGTCTAGGGTTTTAGTGGCAGTGGTGATTTTCCAAAATCATTAGTGTAGAAATTAATTTAGATGGTTTAGCACCTACGCTCGTCAGGTGTTTTATATCCAATAATATTGTGTTGAATTCAGGGGGAAAATCTGATTTGATTTTCAATTTCTGCTAGAAAATTCTAATACGTTTCACAACCTTACAAAGTAGTGGTGCTTGGCACGGGCGTGACAATTGCACATATTATCACCGTGACATTTTATTAAGTACTGAATTACGCTGTTCATGAACGGTTGTGGGTTTTGCTTTTGAGCTGAGCCTTATTCTCACATCTCTTTTCTACAGCTCTTGTGTTGGAGCTGCTGAGTTCCAGCAGCCCTCCTTCAAGGCATCTCCAGAGGGGGCTCGGTTCGTTACTCAGGGGCGGCACAAAGCGTTGTGTTCCTTTTCCTCACAACCCGCACGTGGTCTCCCGAGGAGACAGCAGAATGCCCACTAACTCATGCTTTTCCATTACTCATTCCGCCTTTTCTCCCAAGGTGGCGTGTGGGAGGTGTTGTGCGCGGGTTCGACAAGAATAGGCCAGGAAGCAATCCGCTGGATGCACTCATCCCTTTGCGCGGTTCCGTTTCCACCGCGCCGTGTTCGGCGGGTTAGCCGTGTGAGATGTTTTCCAAAAGGACAATGACTCCACACTCGGCCGCTCCCCTGTGAGTGTCAGCTCTTGCACGGGCGTCTGGACCGTCCAGTCCAGCCCCACCCCCGCAGCGAACCTTTCGTCCGCTTACGAGGCGGATTACCCGGCTGCCGGGGCGCGGCTGCTGCCCACGAAGGCCCTTTGCGCGGCACCCGGGAAGGAGCTCCCGGCGCCAGCCTTGCCCACCCCGCAGCCTGGCACCCGCGCCGCCAGGGGGCGCTGAGGAATCTCCGCAGCTCCTCGCAGTTTCCCCGCCCCCTCCCTAGCTTCCCTTGCGATTGGCCCGCTGCGCTCAACTCCGCGCTCTGATTGGTTTGCTTTCACGTCAGTCCGAGAGGGGGCGGGCCGAGGTGACGCTCAGCGCCTTCGCTCGGGGCGGTGTCCGGCGCCGGCGACTGAGGGCGGAGTTTGGTAAGCGGCGACGCTGGGCAGTCAGACGGCAGCAGTCCTGGGAGGTGTCCGCGCGCGTCCGAGCCGCTTCTGGTCCGCCGCAGCCGCCATCCCCAGCTCATCGCTGCACCCGGTCTTCCTGCTCTCCGGCCTTCTATCCGCCGACAATCTCGAATGCAGAGCCCGGCCGCTGCGTGATGGGGCTGCGGAGCGGCGCCCTGCGGCTCGCGGCGGCCGCTGCTCGCGCTGAAGTGCGTCGGTGCCCGGCCCCCCGCGCCCCCGCGCGCCCCGGCCCCTGCTGACCCGGCTCGCCCGTCGGCCCGCAGCCCGGCTGAGGTGAGGCTGCGAGCGGGCGGCGGTTGGCGCCGGGGAGGGGACGGCTCCCGACGGCAGGGACTCGGGTCCGGGTCCGGGAGGATCCAGGGGAGGGGGCGGCGGGGCCGGGCGAGGCCAGGGTGAGAATGCCGGGGAGGGGCCCCTTCCTGGCCGCGACGCGCCCGGGGCTGGTGTCCAGCGGCCTGCTGCCCCCCGCAGTGCCTTGCGCCGGCCCTGCGTTTCCCGCGAGCTGCCAGGCCCTGGCCCTGCCCACAGGGTCAGCACGCCCGCCGCGGGCCGACCGTGCCCTGGGCAACGGCGCTGCTCCGCTGGATCCGTCCTTTTCTGTCCCCTTTGCTGTCCCCCATTATGGTTGGCATCGGGGTTGGGCAGGGAATGTGGCTATGCCCCTGTGCCAGTTGAAGGCAGGAAAGGGCATCGCGTGGCCCTGGGGGCACCGAGGGCGCGACGCACGGGGAGGGGGCTTATTGGATGTCGGCCAGCAGTGAGCTAGGCTGGTGTGGTCTCGGCGTTGAGCCGACCAGGATTACTCGGGCAGCCATATTGGGAGGATGATCTGACAAATCCTTTAGGAGCCAAGTCCGGTTGCTGGAAGGCACCGAGTGACAGCCCTGGCAGCTTTCAGGGTGACTGGCCGCGCCAGAAGCCAAGTTGTGGGGGTTGGGAGGCCGCTGGAGCAAGCTAGTCATTGTTCATGTAACACAAAACATTCCCGGCCGAAACACCAAAATTGAGCTCCAAAATCACGTTTTCTTCTTGGTGAATTGGTAAAGGAGCTTCCAAGATAAAGTGCCAAGATAAAGAGTCCATTCTTGTTGTGATGAAATTGTATGTTTGTGTACTCATCTGATACATCCAGTGCTGTGGACATAGAAAGCCTGTCGATGTGCATAGGCAGATCTGAGGATTGCCAAGGCCACTCTACTAGTCCAGGTAGTATATTGTATTGAATGGTTAGATTTGCAAAGTAGCTCAACAGGCAGAGATTAAGTAAACTTGAATATTCTGACAGTGCTTGTAGCAATTTTTAGAGGATGCAGGTTGTCATCTTTGTGGAATCTCAAGGTAGCTGAAATTAGATCCCTTGCTCATATATCTCTTCATGCTCCAGGCGCTCTTTGGCCAACACTTGAGCATGCTGCTTTGTGTCATAATGTGTCTGAGCCGAATCAAAGTGCGCGATTGGATTTGAATAATTGTTAAAAAGTGATATCATGGTAGATATTTTATTTAAAGCCTGACATTTTGTCTGCTTAGCTTAGTCATAACAAAATTTTATCTCCTCTAAGAAGTGAGGTGGTGTTTTCTAATTTTGTTGGTATTGTTGGGTTATGAAGTAAGTGAAGTTGTTAATGTTCCGTTTGGGGTTGGAATATGAAGATTGCAAACATGTTGGCATTGTAAAGCCGATATGGAAATGATCAATAACTGGATTCTGTGTGAGTCTGTAAATCTGTCTTTTCCTACATCCAAGAGGTGGCAGGACCTGGATAGATAGCCTGCCTGCTCCTTTATTTGTACATTGCTTTCATTCAAATCCCATTTCTCTGCTTGCTCTTTATTTCCCTCTTTCTTTCTTTTGCTTATGGTGTTGGGGATCTAACCCAGGGCCTTATGCATACTAGGCAAGCAATCTATCACTGAGCTAGTTCCCAGCCCTCAAACTCCATTTCTTTCTTTTTTTTTTTTTTTTTTTTTCATTCTTCTTTTTTTTTTTTGGTACTGGATTTAACCTAGGGGTGCTTTACTACTGAGCTACATCACTGGCCCTTTTTGTTTTCTATTTTGAGACAGGGTCTCACTAAGTTGCTTAGGGCCTCACTAAGTTGCTGAAGCTTTGAATTGGTAGTTTTCCTGCCTTAGCCTCACTAGTTGTTGGGATTGCAGGTGTGCCCCACCTCCTGTAGGCCCAAACTTCCTTCTTCCCTCCCTTCCTTCCTTTCTTACTGGGGATTAGAACTCAGGGGCACTTAATCACTGAGTCATATCCCTGGCCCTTTTTTTGTATTTTATTTAGAGACAGGGTCTCACTAAGTTGCTTAGTGCCTGACAAGTTGTTGAGGCTGACTTTGAACTCCAGATCCTTCTGCCTCAGTCTCCTGAGCGGCTGGGATTACAGACGTATGCCTAACCACGGTCCATTTCTTAATGCTTCTTAAGTTGAATTACTTAAAAAAATTTTCCAGTAGGTTTTTCTAAGAAAAATTTTAACATACTCTATTTTTTTTCTTTGCAATTTTTATCATTAGACATTTCCTTTAAAACTTGATTAAATTAAATATGGGTTCAATAGAAACTAGCATTTCTTGCATTACACTAATATGAGAGAAATGCAAAATGTTTGTTTTATAACTCCATGCCTGAAATAAGAAATATTTGTAAGTTTTTAATTTTTAGAGTTTATTTATATAAAGATCTGAAGATTGTGGTTAAACATAATTTGAGCATTTGGTAAAATTGAACCTGTTTGTGAATCTGATATGGAGATAAGACTTTGAGTCTAAGAAGGCTCTGCTTTGATGAATATTTTTCCAGAGTTTATCCAATGAAGAATAGCTTCTGAAGCTTAGGACAGACTCTTTTCCTTTTCAAGAACAGATATTAATGTGGTTTTCCTTTTTTCTCTTTCTTCTTTCCCATTTTGAATTTGTGCAAGGAATAAATGCCCAGAATTCTGCCAACAGTTTCCAAGGCCAAAGCTTTCTAGTTCATTTATATGCTATGGTCTTGTCCCAGGTACAAAGTAAAGGACAACAATGGTCACTGCCTTGTTTGTCCCAGCTGCTAATCATAGCAGGTCTTTTCCAGGGGTTTAAAAAAAAATATATAAATATATTTATATATATCCCTTTCGTCTTACAAACAGGTAATTTCACATGGCTCTGAAGTTAAAGGTATCTCATGTGTACTTTATGTAGTTCTCTTTGAAAGAGGGCCTTATCTGAACAAATATACACTTATCTATCTATCTATCTATCTATCTATCTATATATATATATATTTTTTTGTGTGTGTGTGTGTGTGAAGGATTGAAGAGAAATTAAACAGGTGATTGTGTTAGGAAAACCTGCAAAAGGTACCTTGGAACTGGGCATTGTGGCATGTACCTGGCATTCCAGCTACTCGGGAGACTGAGGCAGTAGGATAGATGACAAGTTGGAGGCTATAGCCTGGGCAACTTCTTGGAGAACCTGTCTCAAAATAAAATAAAAAGGGATGGGGACATAGCTTAGTAATAAAGTTCTTACCTAGCCTGCACAGACCCTGGGTTCAGTCCCTGGTACTGTAAAAAAAATAAAACAAAAGACAATTGCTAGGTGCAGTGGTGCATGCCTGTAATCCCAGCTGCTCAGGAGGCTGAGATAGGAGGATTGTCTGTTCAAAACCAGCTTCAGCAACTTAGTGAGGCCCTATACTGAGACCCTGTCTATAAATAAAATATTTTTGAAAGGCTGGGGATGTGGCTCTGTGATTAAGTGTCCCTGGGTTAAATTCCTTGTAACAAAAAAAAAAAAAAAAAAAAAGAAAGAAAGAAAGAAAAGGAAAAGAAAATTACCTTGGGCCTCTCCAAGAGTTGGGATTTATTCTTAACAGCCCAATGATTCATTTTTGCTCATTTAGGTCATCACTAGTTAATTGAGAGTGCTTATAGATTTAACTCTTTACCCTCAAAGAACTTTTAACTTTACCATTTATACAGGTATGGCAAGATAAGGTTGTTAACTCCAACTCCTTTCATTTTAGTACAATTTACTGTTCTGCTACTAATGCCATGGTAGTTTCCACAATTTGCACAGCGCCTCTTTTCCCTTTGTAATGTTACTATTAGAAGCTATTGTAACAATACTATTATCTAATACACTCATATTATTATGACATTATCATATAATAAGTATTAATACTTTTGTGATTGTTTTGTGGTTATTTGTGTATTTTTCAAGTTACAAGACTGTAAATGTCTGATGGGTTCAAACATTATTAAGTATTTAACATGGCATTGTTTACACCAAAGCATTCCTTTCAGCTAATACTGTCCTCTACCATTGGACAACTTTGATTCTTGGCTTAGTTTTCCCTTCCATCAAATTTTTATTTTTTAATTTGTTTTTGCATTCTGGGGATTGAACCCTGAGCCTTGTACATATTAGGCAAGTACTCTACCACTGAGCTACACCCCTAACCCCCATTCAGATTTTTGACATCATCTTGGCAGATCAGATGTCATGACTGTATAAATAAACAACAGCAGCAGCAACAATAATGATAAAATAACTTATTCATATTGAGCACTTTCTATGTGTCAGGCCTTTTTCTAAGAACTTTACATTGGTTAACTAATTTGTAGGCAACCATGTAAAACAGATACTACTATGATCCTTTTTTTTCAGATGAAGAAACTGAGACAGAGGCTAAGTGACTTCTCTGAGGTTACTAGAACTAGTTTGTAACTACTCTGCCCATAAAATCTCTTAATTTTTGCTCAAGCAAACATTGTCTTGGTTCTGTTCTAGTAACTCAGTATTGTGGCCACATCTTCTAACATTGCTTTCATATCTGAATTTTGCCTCCCTAACTTAAACCATAGTAATTTACAGTTCTTACTGTCATAGTTTCTTTGTTTTTCCATTTCAAGTCTCTTAGCCTGTCAGTCTCTTACAGATTTTACATTTTTCCTTTCTTCTCTACACTGTGACCTGTGGGGTACGTTGCTTCAATTATTTTCTTACTAGCATTTGCAGTTTTTATTGTTCCTACCCATGCCTTCTGTTCTTACTCTGTCATGGAGAAACCTCGTAGAGTATGGGGGTTTAGTGCCCCCATTAATATGGAATTGAGTTCTCTTGTGTGTCTGCTTTGGTGTCTGCCAAAGCAGTTCTGCTCAGTTCCCTCCTTGGATTTCCACAGTGGCAGTTCTAAAATCTTGATCACTTGACTCAAACTTTCATTGCCCCAGGCTTGGCAGAAAATTTTGTCTACTGCCTCATAGGAAAAAAAAAAAA